TTAAGTCGACTGGGTTTATTTCCACTGTCATACAGACGACTTAGGGGTGACCTAATACTAGCATACCGTATCCTAAGAAATTTATCTAAATTATTTCTTCCTTCTAGCACCAACCAATTGCGAGGACATCACCTCAAGGTTCAAAAACCACGGTCGAATCGTCTGCGTCTGGAAATCCGTTTTTCGCATCGAATTGTGAACCATTGGAACTCCCTACCGGAACATGTCGTATCAGCGCCATCCGTTGATTCATTCAAGGCGAGATTGGACCTCCTGTATGAAATAAATCGAAAGGATTAACACAGGCATATAGCCTACTATCCTAAATAAATTGTAAACTGTAAACTCGCCGTTAATCATCGGTGGGTCGCAAATAACTTCCATCCTTTTTCGGTACCATATGAAGTGGGGATGCACATGGGCTATTCGAAGGTCTAATGTTGCCAAGGGTGAGTATATGGTCAAACTCATTCCTGGCGACTCTCAGTTTGTTAGGAGCCAGTTGTCGTGCTAGAGATGTCACGGGTTGTCCTGTGGTAATGATGTGGTGCAAAACATTGCTGGTTATGTACGGTAGGTCTTTAGACAGTCAATTAAGTTCCGGATATTTCTCAACAATAGGTTGAAAAGTTGGATCAAGTATTGACTTTATCTCAAAAAGTGACAAGCTGGGGCCTATGTAGGTGATGCCTATGATGGATAGACTAGTTGTATTATCAATCAGTCGTTTTCGGCGGACGTCTATGATTAGATCATGATGATTGAGTAGGTCCATGTCGATGATCGGCATTGTGTCGTCAGCGAGAAAGAAAATCCACCGAAAAGGTTTGTGTAAACCTACGTTCAGATAGACGTATTTCCTACCAAAGGTTGCGATTGGTTTTCTATTTGCAGCCTGTAAGTGGAAGGTAGGTTCTTTCTGTCGATCTGCTGCTGTAGCAGGAAGGACGCTAACTTCGGCGCCTGTGTCGACTAAATATCGAGTCTGGCTGATCACATTATGGATGTAAGGTAGGCGGCTAGTGCCACCGGCGATGGTTGCCGCTAACGCGTGCCGGCGGGATAGTTTCCCACGGACTTTGAGGCGTTTTGAATGTTAGAAGCCTTATGGCAACACTTCGCTGCTTGGCCATAGGTGTTGTGGTACCAGCACCACTCAGGGTTTTTCAGAGAATGTGGCTTGGAGTTAGATCGACCACGTAAGCTTCGACGTTGAGTAGATTTAGGATGACGTAGAAATCAAAGAACTTATCCGACTTCCATTATTTCATTATTATTATAATTTTCAAACACCATCTCAGTCAGGGAATAAACTGGATTCGATCAAACAACCGCATGATTATGACTCTCCAACACAAAGTTCGGTAACTACAGTTAACAATCAAATGGCGTCGTATCCACGTAGGACTATTTCATACTAAGGATGACACAAGTTGTTACTGGAATACTGAATTTTCCAATGAATCGTTAAATGCATTCCTGCACTTCCCATGACTGATGTTGTCTATCTTTAGCTTTGCAAGGGAACAAATGTTTTTCCTCTTTGAGATATTTGCAGGCATTTGGCAGATATCCAATTTCCTAGTACTTCTTACCAATTATCAGTGGGGCTTATCTCTGACTCTGGTGAAACTAATATCGTCTTCGGAGTTTGTGATCGCGTTATCTAGTGCTACAACCAGAGATGTTACTATTAAACTATTTGTCCTCACGATTCATCTGCTGTGGAAATGCTACTAAAACATATATTGTCTGACTGCTGAGAAGTGGCAGGATTCAGTCAGACAATGTCGATTAAATGTCGTGATATTCGAGCAGAATTCTAAAGATTCAGACAGTCAGGTGTCTGTGTTTAAACCTATGGGTTACAAAATAAACTCACTTGCACAATGCATTATTCAGGGTGTTATCAGCCTATAGTTCAAATTACCATCAACTATTTTGGAGCGTAAGCGAGCAGAATTTCGTGTATACGATTCGGATTAGTCATCTGCACTGTCATATAAATACCAGCAAAAAGAGTAGCTTCATTATGTGTTCTTTTAGTTTTCAGTCAATTTGGACTACTTTTCCTAAGGATTTGTTCATAAGGATCAATATGCTTTCGACTTTGCTCATGGGTTGTCATCGGCTGGAGAACCGTTGAAAACAATACAGTATTTACTGGACAGTAAGCTGTTTCGTCAGCTTAGTTTTCAACTCAACGGAAGGAAACACTCAGCACGAATGTTCAGAAATATGGGCTTCGTGTTACAAGGTATACTTGGTCATAGACAATTCAGTTACTGGGACTCAAGTCAATTAGCCCATTGCAGATGAATTGTCACTTATACTAATCCAGGTTTTACTTACTGATGATGATGATGAATCACAAACAATGACGAAACAGTTTTCTAGCAGTTTTCGTTATCTTTCAATTCTTCCCTAATCAATATCAACTTGAATTTCCCTGTCATCTGAGTGGACCTAAATGTTTAGCCTCTGTTGACAAGTTGGCGCCTTCTAGGACGGGTGCATCGGTGATGTGACCAGTAGTCGAATCCAAACCAAGATGAATGTTCAGCCGTAATTGGCACTCATTTCTCGATATAACACTTAGTATTTTGTGTCCCTAGTGATATTCAAACTAAGTACTCGACTTTTCATATGTCCAAGCTTTATGTACTAGAACAGTGAATCAACGATAGCCTCCAGCTTTTTTGTGCAATGTCCATCGATCACATCGTGTAATCCACGACGAGTTACATTCCATCAAATTACTTCTTTAATTATTTATATAACACTGAATAATTAGATATGAATAGGCAAAATATATTTCATAAGGTACATTTTGTTTCCAAATATCATCACTATTATTCGTTTAAGCTTTCTCTCTAATCCAGTCAAATACGAATTTGTATGAATTATGATGTATCACACGAACATAAACAAACACAATCAGTTAATTTCTGATTGGCCAGTGGAAGAAACCAATGAATGAAATAGTGTAGTGTGTTAATGGTATAAATAGTCGAATAAAATAATATATCAGCACGAATTTAGTTAGTGACTATTCATCCCACATTACGAGTAAGTTCCAGTAGTGTGATTTTTCTTATAATATAATATGTAATATATATAATCAGTGTTTGAGAAGGATTCATATTCTCGTTTCGAAAAGACACCATATATCAGAATATTGCAGAGATTGTGTGCAGACAATCTCTCCTTCACTGGTCCGAAAATCCAGACCAGCCACTCCGCTATTTATAATTTATGAAATTTACTATTGTTTTTGTGCGTCGGTAGTATAGCGGTTAGGACGCTCGCCGACCATGCACATGGTCCGGGGTTCGATCCCCGGCCGGCGCACTCCTTTACCTCACTGAGCCAGAAGTAATGCTGGTAAAGAGGAAAATTTGGGCATGAGGCTAGCAAACCCATCCTGTAAAATTAAAAATGAACCCTGCTACAGAAACTTCAAGCTACTAGCTTGGGGCCCTATGTTCCACTGGGAAAGTGAAGGAAAAATTTACATTACTATTATACTATTGTTTAGAGTGGAACGTAGATTTATATGCCTGAAGTAATCTGTAAATGCGCGGATAACTGTAGATCCGACTAGATAAAGTCATCTCTAAAGTCTCCCAAAAGATATCTTTCTAGCTCTGTCTTTTCATTCTGAGATCCCTTTAGAATATACTCTGATGAATTTGTTATGCAGTGCTACTCTAGACTCGTCACCCGAGTGTTGCATCACTGAATATTTCTTCTGCCCTAATTCACTCAACGTGTTTTGGTGTTGCTTATACAAAGCATTTACGCATGTAAGGTATTTTATCTATCTAGTCATGAAACTGAGCATTAAACCTGCATCTCACAATGTAGATCCACGTGTTACTATTCTCGTCTGATTTAGTAGTGGTATTACAAATGAAGAACTAAGGAAATTTGTTTTTTTTGAGCAGAAAGTTAAACCTGTTTCTTTATTTGCGTTTCGACTTTTATTTAACTCCATATTCAAAAATCATCTATCATCTTTCGATTGACAATATTGGCATGTATCTCCAGTGATTTTCATTCATCTTTAGATAATCCATGAAGGTCTTCAGATGCTGGGAAAGACACTCCCTTCGATTTCAAGTATTCCAGATCGGATGGAATCGATGTGACTATGTGGTTAGCAAGATATGTCGTTTCTCCTGTACAGGATATGCAAATTTACTCAATAGCGAAGTGGCTGTTAATGATTCTTGGAGTTGTGAAGGAGAAGCTGTTCAGGCAAAATTTGTTGATTGTAAGATTTATTCAGAAATTTCAGCCTGAAAGACGTGTAAAAATATGTATATAGCCCTAGACTCTCAAATATTTAGATGAACTAATAATGTCGCAGATGGATGTCTAAATATATTAAGTTATATATCGCATTTACAAATCATGTGCAATAATAACGATTTCCTACATGTTATCATTGGACGCCTTCTCAACATTGCGCATTTAGCTTCCACTGGGGCGATGTCGTGTTCCGCTGTGCCAGTCAACGTTCACCCAAGTTTATTTCTGATTCACCTGCATTTTACAAACCATATTTCTTGAGTAGTAGCTCATCAATCTGTACATTCCAAAAATAGCCTCTTTTTAACTCCTTGTCGCCGGCCACCCGATTTACACTACAAAAACATCAAGGACAGCTCTTGATGGAATCATGAAGCAGGCTGAAGGAAACGCTTTTCGTGACACGCTAGGCAGCCTCTATATTGACTGAGAAGAAGTGATCGACTGACCGGCTTGATATGGGCGCCGAAATTCGGAATCTCATTCTCTATGCTCTGTGGGAGCGCAGAAGATTCCAATTTATTTTGGAGGGATGAAGCTGTGTATTGATTGAGTTTCCGAATACAGTTGGCTTTGACATTTTCATCCATTCTGACAGCAACAATTGCGTCTATTATAACCGTGAATACGGGATTACAACTGCCTATAGTCACTGATACTGTTTACCATTTCTCCATGTTCATTTGAAGTCTTATTTTCACTGGCTGATTCTTCTGTCAATTTCTTGCTTTCCATCGAAACGTTCTCAATAAGATGAGACAATATTACCGTCCAATTTCTACTGAGATTTTGACTCTGTAGCTAGGTTATTCCTTCATATACGGAGAAAATCTATTTGTGCGGGTCTCTTATTTTCCGATTGACCCAACCATCAGAATCAGAACATTTATCTGCTATTTTTGTCGTAAGTCGAAATCCCTTTTATCTTTTCAGTATCGTCGCACTGTCATTCTTTTTTCACTTAAATTCCACTGACTCATTTCACTCGTAATGATCGTTATTAGCTGGAATTGATGGTCACCACCATTCAGAGGATCAACTTAAGGCAAATATGCCTATGTTAATGCAGAATAATGTGTAACAAGTAGAACGTGACTGGAAACAGCGCACCGTGTGCATCTGTTCCTCCGCAATAGAAGCAGCAGATTCATCACCTAGACATACTTATCACAGTTCACTTTGACAGTGGCGGATTTCTGCTTCACAATCAGCCGACTTACTCATGCGTTAACCTTGAAAGTTAAAAGATAACACTGGGCGTGATTTTCATCAAGAAATTCATCAGTTCACTTTTAGGAACACTTAAAGGCAAACACTAACCATCAGTCGACTGATTGTGTAAAAATACGTGATTCGATGAAGCTGATTGTTGAGATGTATTCAGGTCACTATGTTTATGTAGATAAACATCTCTTCGAGTGGAAAACAATTTAGAATTTTGCACAATTTTGTAACCAACTGAATAATTCGTCAGGAATTCATTCATAAAGATATGATTCGCTATTCAGAGTCTCCCATCTGGTATGCGCACGGTACCACATACAAGATATATTTACGACTGTGCAGTCAAAGATGGATGCGCGACACCATATGTTATTTATTTATTGAGAGGAATAGTTGTATAGTGGTGATGCTGCCTGGTTTCCTGGTTGGCCGACTGCTTTGTTGGTTGCCAAGCATGACTGAAGTCTTCTCATTACCAGAGAGGCTTTTTGCCGATCTGTTGTTAAGTCTGTCAGTTGTCCACTGCACTCGACACAGCTCAAACAGCCAAAATAAGCTTAAAACTGAGTATTTCAATTATCTCTTCTACTTATGTCAGTTTAGAACACGTACGCCATTGATGTCTTCAGTGTGATGCATGGGTTTGACGATAGTTAAAATAAAATGTTGTGAGTCTGGAGATGAGAAATAATAGGTCGGGTCAGAATATGAATAATTGAGATTTGCTGTTGCAGCTTCACGTACCAGTCCAAACCCAAAGATAAAGTTAAAGTCAGTTTCTGTAATTCATTTCAAATTACTTTATTACGTTTTTCCTTTCTTACGTATTTTTAGCAGAATGCTGTCTCAGAGGTCAAAATTTAACTTCATCATAATCGTCAGTCTATGCATAGTCAATATTTTGATGACGGAATCATTCTTTCATTCGCTCCCAATGACAGTTGATCATAAGGGTAAATTATATTTTTCTATGTATGTTAATGACTAAAATAAATGTGATATCAATCTGACTAAGCATCGTTACAAATCAATTCCTGAAAACCATTCTACTTCGCACTGCTTGCTGACTTACTGATTACTCGCAGGTTGATGTTACCTGGAATTCCAGTAAGAATTCATCACTACTGTGAGAACATATACTCATGAATGATGAGATCGGATAACGTCGGTGCTATATCAAACGAATAAGCATCAGTTAGAATTCTTAGGACGCTGGGTTCTGTCCTGGTGAATGAATAATCAGTGAGATCATTTCATCAACACAAATCTTCTGGTTCCAATCCACAGTGGATGATGTGGACCTACTGATGAAGAGTATCAGACTACGACCAAGTGAATGTTCAGGTATTCTTGTTTATAAATGATTCCATAACTGAGGTCACTTCACAATTCATCTGCTGTATTCCCGCAAGATATGAATCAATCGCCTACAGATTATCATTGCTGATCTCTACCAACTGAACTTTGAAAGTCAACTGATCTTCAGATAATTATTATTTCACTTTAATTATGCATTAAGTCGACTTGTCTAGATTTCTAATCTACACTGTACACCATTAAAATTTCTTTTACTTATTTTAATTTCAGGAGACATAACTGTCGATTTCGACGGGGTCAAATTCACTTTGGACTTTGACTTTACTTTGACTGTTAACGATGGTGACTGCATATACAAGGTTGATTTGACACTACCAGAGGGAGATGAGCTGGCAAGCAAACAAGGGACTCGTAATGGTTCTGTGTGAGTCTTCTTTTTAATGTGAATTATGTGACACTTGAAACATAAAATCGGAATTACTTGATAACGTTAACATAAATGTGCCCACATAATTCTCGAAAATACTACTGACATCTTCGAAAGACCCTTCTCTTGCATAGAAAACGAGGGCCAGTTTGTATCAAAATTGTCTTGTGTGTACAGCATCATATTTGTGGCGTCATATTTAATGATCAAGTTATTCTCACTCCCAACATACTTCAATTAGTTCCCGTGAGCAAATTTATACAACAGGCGACAATAATGATAATAATAACATCTAGGGCAGTAGTGGTGGAACTGGTAGCGATGAGTGTCCATAAAAGTAGAAAAAACCTACTGTTTTGAATTAAGAGTGTCCTACTTCGTCGCCAACATAAACTGGCTTGCGCTGTATGTTCTCAATGTCTTTTTCGTTTTGCATGATCTTCCAAATTTTTCCAAGGCTAATTTCACTCAATATGCCGATGATATGACCGCCTGCGTTTAGTAGGTTCTGCATTGCATCCTTTGCTTATGAATATGTTCTTATCTGAGGTGAACGCATTGTATCACTCAAAATTTCCTCAAACTTAATCCATCTTCATGCCATACAGTTTGTTGATTTCAGTTTCAGATGTAAGCAGGACTCGTGCAGACTGTTTGCTTTTATATTGACGGCATTGTGAAAGGCGGTTGGCCGTCTCATATGTCCTCGTTTTCTGAAAAAAACATTTCGTTTTACTGACCACATGTAGCAGTGGCGAATTTCTGATGGTCTCAGTCAACCACTTCTCTGACGATTAATCGATTCATGTATTCTGTGCATTCTTCTTCATTATTCAGCTCACCTTATCTTCCCTGGCTTTTATAAAATCAGACTGAACCATATCACCTCTAACATTGGAAGCTTTGAGTATGGTTGCAAGCGTACTGTCTTTTACTTAGATAACTGATATAATTGTCAATCGGCAATTCAGTTCTTGCATGCAGTTGCCTGAAGTTATCTCGTCTGACACCAAACTTTCTCTTCAGTTATTCTCTACTTTTCCTTTTTATCTGTCTTCACTATTTTGACACCAGAAGAGCTTGCATAAGAAATTCTGCTCGTGTAGGCAGAAAAACCGAAAAACTTACTCGAGCCATGCTTTACGAAATCCGTGAATCAGCAGCTGAATGAGAAAGTCCAGTTCAGCTGGCTTCATGACGGCACGTAGACTTTTTTCTACCCTACACACAAAAAGACGTCGTACATGTCACCTGCAGACAAAGAAATCATCATTTTTCCAGTAGGATATCCTGTAATCGTCTTTTGATATATGGAATCAGTCAACGGCTCCTGAATCATGTCTTGAAACAACTTTCATTCCTAATCACAGTGTACTTAGGTGACAGGTTCTTGTCTGTTCCTTTGTCGAAATAACTTCTGGCTGTAGATGACACTGAAAGAGTCTTGATAAATTATGAGCAGGATTAACGCCGTTATAAAGCCACTTTATTAATGAGACAAAACGGACTCTTTAGCCACCATCAATTCCACAACTGCTTTCGATTCTGGAAGTATAACTCTATCCATTCTGCATTCCATGATTTGCACTGAATTTATTAAATCTGATAATAACGAGTATTCATTGTTTCGTTACTGTCTCTCCTCTCATTGTCTCTCCCTCTAGACATTGTAAAAGCTGGAGTATATCAAGACCACGTAATCAAAGCTAGAATGCAGCTGTGCAAAACACCATTGGAGATGTAGCGAAAATGACAAAGTCAGGCTTCTCACTTAATGTGTGACTGAACAATACTTTCAACTGTGTTTAATTATTTTCTTAGCTTAGATAGTAGTGAGTCGAATACATTTTATTTTCTGAATACTGGGTCTTATTCTTCCTCTTGCTGTAGACTGGCTCTTCTCCACGAAATACCAGTTCTAAAACACTTTACTTAAAGTTTTGTGGTGCACTTTTGTGCTGAGATAGTGGAGGGAATGATTTAATACACTACTGAGTGTGTCGTTCATATCTAAGTTGCGTTTATCACAAACAGTTATTTACAATATGCAACCGCTTAAAAACAGGAAGAATCTGACATCCTCATTTCATTGAGTAGTCGTGTAAACAATTTGTGGATATGAGGACGGACAGAGAAGTCTTCATTCATACTTTCACGAAGACAATAACACATACGTCGTTGATGTGATGAAGTCCTTTATTCCCTTCATCTTTACAGTCATATGCATGGACAATTGTGTTCTAGTGAAGAAGGATAATAACATAAGTGATAAGCTGTTACAATCAGAGCTGTTTATATAATGAATGTATAAGAGGATGTATAATTCAATGAGTGAGTCGCAATCACGATGCACATAGAAACGAAGGCAAATATGGAACTTTGTGAAGTTGAGTTGCCAAAAAGTCTATTAGTGACAAGAGCAAACAAACAATTAAACAGATGAGAATGAGGTGGGTAGAAAGGAACAAGGTTATCAGCATGACAGCTGGAGTGGTCGAATAAATTCATACTGCATGTATGGATGAGAATTCTTTACTGGAAGGGCTAAGGCTTCAGTAACTGACAGAAGACTAAAACACATTGCATTCTGTAGGTTATTCTTCCTTTTGTAGATTACTGCTATTGTCGTTTCTGTAATCTTTTCGTTCTACGTTAAAATTACTTGATGCAGGTGTGATTTGAACCTACGTCATTTATGACTGGCACCTTGCCAATTCACGCACATATCTTACCTCTAGGCAATTCATTTTCGGTACCAAATTGTTAAATATAACAAAGACACACTACACAACAAACTTCATATTCACATTAAATCCATAGAAAATCTGCACCACACCAGATGAATTTTGTCTCAATAATTAAATAATTTCAGAGGGGATTTTCTGTTTATTTCAAAGTCGATCTTGGCACTTACCGACAGTACAAAGTAGAACCGCTGAAACGTATGCTGATCTGGCCAGCTGTTAAATAGAAGTTTGAGATACTGAATTTTGAGTGAATGACTTTCGAGACGCTCACCAGGTAACCCTAAGTTGGTGCGTTCAACTAATTATCTGACTTTGAGGGTTATCTTCAAAAATTCTGAACACATATTCAGTGCATACTATTTTCTTGTATTGACTAAATGGATGTCAAATCTTGATGTATTTCAAATTCCAAGTATACTAATCAGTTTCCAACAATTTTAGTAAGGCGGAAAACAAGAGATTCAGTGAAGAGACACTTTTCAAAAACGAATTAATAATCAAGCTGTTCATATGTATATCATGCGTTTGAATTCATATAGTAATGTAAATAATATTAGAAATTGCAAGTCAAATTTAAATAATTGGGATTTCATAAGCATAATGCAATGATGAGTCCCATAACATTTGATGTCGCGTATAGAACTATTCACAGGATTGCATGGAGGATTTCACCATGAGCTGACATCAGTTAGAGGACCACTGGAAAATCTGGGAGTACTGGAAAGCAGTTTCGTACTTGTTTGAGACTCTTCATCATTACGCACCCACCGGAGATCGAACCCAAGACCTTCTAGTCACAAGGCGAGCCACTTATGTCAGTCAGCTCATGGTGAAATCCTTCAGACAATCAAACAAAATTTCTACAAAACCAATACTTGAAAATCATTCTGATGCTCGCTAGTGACTGACCCTCTTCAGGCAGGTAGCCTGAGGTTTTAGCGGGAAGCCGTGACCAGTAGGGTACAGCAGGTTGAAGATGAGGTGGTAACTCATCGAAGAAGACATTGCGAAGTGGTCGCGCTATGTCGTGAATCGGCAGAAGTTAGAATTCAAGTACCATTGAATCGGGTCCCAGTGGCTTAATGGTCTACGAGCTCGCCTTGTAACCAGAAGGTACTGAGTTCGAATCCCGGTGGGTGCGTACTGCTGAAGAGTCTCAAACTAGGATGAAACAGCTGTCCAGTACTCCCAGGTTTTCTAGTGGTTCTCTAACTGATGTCAGCTCATGATTAAATCCTCCATGCAATAGAACAAAATCCCTACGAAACCAACACAGGATGTTTGGAAGTTGTAATGGCTGTAATATTATCCCATTATTGGGCAAATTGAATAAATATCGAACTCGGTGGAACATGTTTTGAGATTTGATAGACAAAAATTTAACGTCAGCATGATATGAGACGCACTTTATTATCACTTACCCTCTGCTACTACTATTTGTTCAATCTTGCATCCTACATAATCTTATTGCACCCCTGTACCTAACATAGTCTTTCCTGGTCTGCTGAAGAAAGAAAATAGTCATATTAACAAAAGGTAATAACAGTTGTATGGAGGGCAAGTGCTTTACTCTCAATAAGTCAGTTCAGTAATGCCGCCGTCGATACGCATCTGAAATCAAGTGAAACTTAGAGTCATTCCATGTTGTGTGAATACAAACAACTCAAACTCTCTACTCCCGTATTTCCCCTCATCACATAGGACTGGAAGTAATTACAAACGATTGCGCGCCCACACACACACGAAGTACGAAATTTATTGACACCCTATTTGTGCTGCCTGCGTTCTATACCATAGACAAGGTGCTAAGTGAATATTCTACAACTAAATGTGCAACGACCAAAGTCAACGCGTCTTAAGTTCTCCCCTATTTGCATATTAAGTAGGACAAAGTTTCCATGAGTTTTAGAGTTTAGCTGCTAACATTACTATCCACTATTTTGTCACGACGAATTAGTATTTTACCCGAGCACCCTGCTCATTCACTATTCCTTTGACGTTGACTGATGTAAGCAACTTCTGTTTACCTGAAATAAGCTTTCATGCCTGCTGATGTGGTGTCATGATTACAACTCTGTGGAAAATTGCTTGAAAGAGACTGTACATGTATCTGTATGTTACATTTTATTTTTAACCACAAATCAAGAAACTACACCGGAATTTTGACTACATGTTACATTATAAACTTCCTCTTTGAATGGGTAGTATTGAACTTCTATGTCAATATGTAATTCGAATAGCTGGATGTCACCATATACAGCGAATACAGTATCTCTGAAAGTGTGCGGCTGGACGTCATTATACACCGTGCAGATTTTACCATATATTTTAGATGGTGCATAGATATATCAGCCAATATGTGAGTTTGAGGACTTCACAAATCTGCACCAACGAATTGGCAATGCATTACTTTTCGGATTTTGTACGGATCAGAAGACAACTCATTTCAGGCATCGACAGTACGTGATTCCACATGCTATATTTCTAAGTGCGTGAAATAAGTGACCAGTTTTAAATTTCTCCGCTTGATAGGGATCATATATATATGCCAGTTGGTTGTGAGATAATCCTTTATAACGCTTACGTCTACTTTTTGTAAACATGAAATTGTTTCTCTACTGTCTTCTCAGTCTGCTATTGTTTTTTTTCGCATTCAAGTCGTCGAGTTTGCGTTACAGTCTATGCAAATCGTGCGTAGAGTGCAGATCTTGTATACCTTTCTTCCATGTTTTTTTTCACTTGTACTTTGTTAATATCTCTTCAGTTTCTGAAACAGTTTTCAGTGCCTCATGAGCTATTCTGTCCTCGGGCCTTACCTGCTTGTCATCAGTGACTAGAATCTGTTCAGGACATCTGCTTATGTTAGAGGATTGATGTCAACTGGTGCTTCTGTATGTAGTGTTGGCGACGCTGGTATTTCTGAAGGAGTTGCTTGTGATGGCCAAATTGATCAACCAATCCTGTAATTTGTCTCCCCTAATTGACAATTAGCTTCCTCTGAACATCTTTTACAGACTTTACCTGCGTTGACCTTTTCCAGGATAGAATCCTAGTTATTTTGTGTTATATTTTGAGGTCTGTTTTGCCTTGCCTACCTGTTCTGCTTCAGCTGCCACATTGTGAAAGACTTGCCACTGGCCCTTTCTGCGCATATAGGACAATGGTCTTATTTGCTATGCCACTCAAAGGTCTCCTTTGAGTTTGTATGATTATACATCCTGTTACAAACCATAATTCTTCGGTGATAGCTTCTTGATTCGTATGTTCCAAGAATCTCCTTTTTTACTCCTTGATAAAGGCCATCTGATTTGTACCACGAAGTTCCCATGGACAGCACTAGAAGGTAGTAAAAGCAAGGCTGCTGGAAATGCTGAATCCGAAGAATCGATCAACTGGCTTGACATCAGTGTTGTAAACCCAAATCTCATTCTCTTTGCTTTTGAGGAAAGCAGAAGATTTCCAGTTATGTTCAAGTCTCGAGTTCCAGACTACAGTTGGCTTTGAGATTCTCATCTATTCCAACTCTCTGTATTTAGAACGATGGTGCCGAGTGTAACCGTTATTGGTGGTTGCTACTATTTACCGTTGCTGCTTTTGATGTTGTTGCTACTGGTTGGCTTCATCACATCCATTTTCTCTATATCCAGTTAAAGTCTTATATCCACTGGTTGTATGTTCTAGCAGTTTGTTTGTCTTTGCCTGTGAGTCCTCAATTACGTGTGTTAATGTCAAAATGTCTAATCGAATGTGAGAGAAATACAACACTTTCTAAGTGTTTTTATCATCATTACAAGAAAGAGATTGATGAACTAGAACTTTGATCACTGTTCACTGATTTCCACTTCACATTCAACTCACATTGAGTCATATGATAACCTAGAGAAAACAAATGCAACAATTTGCGTGGTTTTCTACAAGAACTTCATCAATCCACTCTGAAGAACACTAAAAGAAAAACATTGAGTATCATTCGACTGACTGAGTGAAAGTACGTGACTGGATGCAGCTGATTGTTTAAATGTATTCAGGTTAATGCATGCATGTAGCAATAAGCAATGTGAATATCCAGAACGGATAACTATTTGGAATTATGCGCACTTGGATCATCAGATG